GTGTGTTGTTGTTGTTGTTGTTGTTGTTGTTGTTGTTGTTGTTGTTGTTGTTGTTGTTGTTGTTGTTGTTGTTGTTGTTGTTGTTGTTGTTGTTGTTGTTGTTGTTGTTGTTGTTGTTGTTGTTGTTGTTGTTGTTGTTGTTGTTGTTGTTGTTGTTGTTGTTGTTGTTGTTGTTGTTGTTGTTGTTGTTGTTGTTGTTGTTGTTGTTGTTGTTGTTGTTGTTGTTGTTGTTGTTGTTGTTGTTGTTGTTGTTGTTGTTGTCGTTGCTGCAGGATGAACCGTCCTCACATCAGACGGCTGTCCAAAGTCCGAAGCCCACGCAAGGAACACGGCGGCTTTCCCCACGATACGCTAGCGAATTGGTGGCCGTCAAGGTTGGAAAGGCTCGGAGTTTACAACGAAGGATTCAAAGGGTCTGAGCAGAATCGTTAATGAAAGGAGAAGGAATAGGAAAGGCGCTGGGTTCCGCCGGAAACAGGAGGTTAGCAGCAAAATGAAGAAAGGCTCCAAGACCCATGGAATAAATTGTGCTTATTTTGTTGGAGGAGGTTTCGGGAACGAGCACTACCAAGCAGAAAAGCTGCGGGGATTACGTGGAAGAGCGGCTGTTCCGGGTTCGCTGAGCGCTTGCTGTGGCCGTTTGATTTGGACGGCCAAGACCATGCTGTCTAGGCTTGTTACGAGGAGAGGCTTGGCTAGCCATGGCAGACATCATGGGCCATCCCATCAGAATTCCGGTGAGTGGACCAACACTCCAAGGCTTAGGTGAGTGGAGGTCCGCTGGATATCGAACGCTATTGCACCGCAGTATGTAACCATAATTGTTTGATTCCGGCAACCAGGTAGCCAGGCTCATTGAGGAATTGGGTTGGAGCATGTCCCCTGTTTCTTCCCTTGTTTCCTCCCCTGTTTCCCGCTCGCGTGCTGATCAACCATTTCGATGATGGTTCAACCTCCCCCGAGAGAGAAGAAGTGGTGAGAGGTGGTCCATTCTGCCTTCAAAGGTGTGATAGCAGCACCAGAGAGCATAATCGTTTCTGAATACCTGCACAAGACCCTGCAGAATGCCCTCACGACCTCCTGCTCTGCACCCTACTGTAATGCATGAACTGTCACTGCTCAAAATGCTCGGGTTGGACGACCATATGGGTAAGGGGTTCGCCAGCAGCCGTTGTGCTGGACCCTTTCTCTGTACACAGCTTCACTACACTAGGGTACCTACTTACTGCGTCAGCATACACCTACATGGAACTGCCTCGTCCCACCTAGCCTCCGCTCGGTAGCGTAACTCTGTGGGTTGTTATACAAGAAGGGCCTCCCATCATTTCATAGAAAGGCCCGTGTCGGTGTTTGGCCATACCTTTTCCAACAAAACCCCCAATTTTACCACCCAACGAGAAGACTACACCTCACAAAAGTTTCAGGTCCATCGATGGAAAAAGGTTGGGGTCGTGTTTGTTGGTGGCTTGTGCAGCCAAGGGTTTGGTACACACAGCATGCCGCTGGCCCGCTTATAGGCACGGTGACGCGTAACCCTCACCACACCTTCCCGAGCCTCCTCCCCTCCCCAATTGCACAGAAAGCTGCAGCGGGGAGAGCGGCTATTGCTACCACTTGCCGTTTCAATTCCAGATGAACGCGCGCAATTGCAGCACCCAGCGAAGCACCTAGCGTTTCATCCGCGCGGACAGAAATTCCGTCAACATTTGTTTGATCTCGGATTGAGCACCTCCAGGCACCGAGCTCGCTCCAAATGCTGAATGGCTGCTGGTGCATTCATGTGCTAGCTGGTTGCAGAGGGTTGGGTGGTTTTGGGCAATGGTGATTGGGGTCCTGGAGCTCGTGTTTAGGGGCCGGGCAGTTTCTAGGTATGTGTGGGGAAATCTCCATTGGACATCCCATCGAACTTCAGGTCAGTCAACTTGAACAGCGATGAGCGAGATGAAACAAGTCTTCTGTCATTCTCGATGACGGCTCTCGAGGCTTGGTAATTAAAGAACGTGGGTGTTTCATGGCAAGACGAACTATTCGAGCCGTTTTGTTCGGCACGATCATTAAAATAGATGATGTAAATGAAGTCCATCCCAATTCCGGTCATGCTCCTAGACAGGGGTGATTGCTCAAGATCTCGAATCCAGAAATTTGGAAGACCGAGCCGCCATTCGAGAAGGGCAATGGACCCTCGATGCGAATTTCGATACCAGGTCACCCATGTTTCTTGTTTGATCACATTTCTCCAGGCCAAGACCATTGACGCGACAGCTCTCCTGATGGCAAACTTTTTGCGTTGCTTTCTCGGCTTTTGTCAGGTTGAGGACCAGAAATCGAAGCTGATCAAGACTAAACATTATCCTGAATCTATCAGACTCACTTGGGTACCGTTAAAAACAAACGAGTTACAAATCATCCCGTGAGGTTGCCAGGCAATTGGGATCAGCCCAAGCGCAAACCTGGGTCCAATATGTGTGTAGACATCCAACGACCGCTTCCTGTATAGCAAAAATTCCAGAGATGCAAGATTAGATGCAACATGGACTACTATACGAAAAACAAGACATGTCGTCTTTGCTTGATGGGGCATCTTGTCTTTAGTGACCACCCACGCGTACCTCCTCCTTGGCCTTCCGCTCCTGCTCCTCCTTCTCCTTCTTTTTCTTAGCCTCTCTCTCTTTTTTCTCCCTCTCCTTGCGCTCCTTCTCTTCTTTGTCCTTCTTTTCCTGTTCCTTCTTCTTCTTTTCCTCCTCGATCGCCGACGCGGCCCTTTCCTTGGTCAGCTTCTTGTTTTGCTCGTTCCAGAACTTGTCGACTTCAACCTTCAGGACGTCCTTGGTCGTCTTGTTGGCCCACTCAGGAAGCTCCTGCTCGGCACGTGTGACCCAGGGCCCCATCCAGCTGTCGCGCACGTACGAGGTTCCCGCAAAGTGCACAATCATGTCACCCTGCATCACCTTCCACTTCTGAACCTTGCCGCCGTGACCGTCGTTGTAGACCTCGTTTGTTCCCTTGTCAAACTGCTCCTCCACCATGGGCTTGCCGAAGAGCCAGGTGCCGTTTTTGAAGAAAGCATTGTTCACGGGCAGCGAGTTGAACCAGCGGATCGGCACGTCAACCCAATGATCCCGGCCAGCCATGGGCGTCTGCGCTAGAGGAGAGGCCTTGTCGGTGAGAAGAAACTGGAAGGCGCTTTGGTCGCGGAACCGGTCGGTCTTCATGCGCTCCGAGTTGTAGATGGGGTAGGCGAGTACGGCCGAAAGGAAGGAGGCAGACCACGGGCTCACGCGGAAGGCAAAGACACCCGAGTTGAGGCCGTCCCAGTTGGATGAGATGATGAGGTCGACGTTCGACAGACCCTTGGCATTCTCAGGTGGGAGGAAGAGTTCTAAAGGGGTGTAAGGGTTCATGACTACCGTGTCGGCGTCGAACCAGCTATTAATTGACAAGGAGCGTCAGTTTCGGCCCATATACCGCTGTCGATCAGACAAGATGACGGCTCCCGTAGAAGGATACTTACAAAACCCACTTCAACCTCTCCTCCTCGGGCTTCTCTAGTTCTGCGACTATGATTGAGAGCAGATAGGCGGGTTTGGTCCATGCGCCCTTGGGCCGGCCGGCGCGGTCGTTCTCAATCAAGCTGCTGACCGCCTGGTTCTGGGCGATGTAATGATTGTAGCCATGTTCGCGGTTATGGCGCTCATGCGTCTGCATTGCGCGATGGATGACATCAACGTCGAGGGCGTTAGCCGCGACGGTGACCTTGGCCACACGAGAGGTCTTTTTCACCGGTGGTTTCTCATGCTCGGCGGGTTGGTTCGTAGCTGGCGGAGGCGTGTTGACCGTGGGAGCATCGGGGCCGGAACCGGCGGGAAGGGAGTGGTCGACATTCTGGTCGTCATTGTTGATGGTTTTTGGTTGTTGCGGCTCAGAGTTGGGAGCAGTGTGGAGGGGCACCTCGGAGCTTATAGCACCGCTGGTGAAGCTGGAGTTGTGGAAAGTAATGAGCCAGAGCCAGAGACAGCCAAGCACGGCTAGGATGCTGATAACCCTCAGGGGCCGTTGGGCCTGGAAATTGCTTAGAATCATGGCGGAAGAATGGCACAGGCGCTGACCCGACTCTTCATCATGTTGCGACGAGAAGAGTCTCAAGGGACAGGTCAAGGACAAGAGACGGCGGATTCGGATCCGGAAAGGAGGAGCTACTGTACGGCTACAGAAAAAGATGGAGAATTCCGAGAAAGGCGGTTGTTGAAGAAGTCATTGTACATCCCTATCCCTGGTCAACCTTGTCCGTCCCAGAGCAAGCTGAGATCGTCATTTCCACTTGGCTCTCCATATCAAGGGTCTTGGCATGAGTGGATTTAGGGTGGGCTGCTTCATGGCCAAGCGGTGGTGACGGGAAGCCGGAGGCTGCTCGGGTCTACGCAGTACACTGGAGGTCCAGTTGTAGCTGTCAGAAGCTGTCACGCTATCCTGACGATAGCCAAGGAGAACAACGCTTATTCAACAGTGGACAGCAACGGGATGACGACCTTTGTTATTCGCGCAGAGGTTACGTGCAGGCTGGGCAAGTGGAAATAGTAGCTGCGCCGTGAACGCTTGCGCCAACTTGGCTGTCCCAATGTGCATCCTTTTACCTAGTGTACATGATTTCTCACTTTCTATTTACCTCCTTCAGTTCTCGCTGTCGCCAAGATATGTCGCCATGTGCACCCACTGCCCAGTGAGAAGGTAAACAGGCAGAAACATGCAATCCTTCATGTCTGGAATGCCGCATTGCCGACGGGGCCATCCTGTTGTTTATTCGTTCACATTCTGTTGACGAAGTCCCACGCTGTACAACTGACGGCGGCTCTTGCCGGTCAATCCAGGGACATATTTATACTGGCACAACATAGAGGTACCTTGCCCTTAGTTTTGGTAGTGTATGTGCGGTCACAAGTCCCAAAAGACATGGACTGTAGCCGTTGCCGTGAGTAAAGAGGTTAACTTCAGTTTTTTACCAACGCCATTCCAAAGAACGATGACTTTGAATAGCGAAACCAACAACAAAGTGCAGTATCATCGAGGCCCGTCATCGGCTGTCCCTTCTTTTCAGCGGTACTGACAGGGAACTTACAGCGGATGCGGGATGCCGGCATGGGCGCAGTGGGGGACGCGCGTAAAATGAGCGGAGTGGGGTTCTTGGCATTGTGTTGGCGCTGCCGCCTGTCATCGATACCTGTACCTAATTGACGACTTTCATCAGTTTCCCTTGGCCAACGCTTATTGCATACCTCTAAGTAGCATGGCTTCAAAGGAGGAAGCTTCATGATGCTGATGAGGCTCTGGTATCGGATGCCAGTACTCTTGATCTTGATACTGGACGTCGGAAAGGACCACAGTGCGCGACCGAGCCGGAGCAAATTCCAATCGGCTGCCATAATAGGGCCGTCTTGGCCATGTCAAGTTCCCATCGTCAACCCGATCTTGAGGCCGTAGGAGAGTCTGTCATGACCGGCGCATGCTTCCCAGAATACCGTTGACGGAAAACCTTTCCAGCGGAACCTCCTTTTTATCGGGTCCCAAAGCATTTGAGTAGGCCGCAGTTGGCAGGTGTTGGTAAACGCAGGCGCCCGATTTGGAGGTCTGGAACGACACGACATGCCAAAGGCCGACTGACCCAGACTCAACGGGTAGAACCCAGAACCACACGATGCTTCCAGGGCAGAGGTCTGCGTTGAGCCTTTGCAACTCTGCGAAAGTCATCTATTGTGGCCGATTTTATTCACCCATTCCTTTTGGGGCTTCCTAGATGAAGAAGTGGGTAGAGGAGGTGACTGAACATCGGCTTTTTGGATTATACCAGGCTTCTGTACGAGGAGCTGGATACCTTACTCGAGTTGGACATGGCCTATCTCGCTCGACGGGCAATGAGAGTTCGATCTAAGAGCCCCACGCTGTCATTGGACATACAGAGTACTTTTCAACGTGGTCGCCGTATCGATGGCTTTGTCTGCCCACGGAGGCTGGTTGTCACTCAACAATATCCACTGTTGTCCCTTTATCGGCCCTCACTGGTCAGAATTCTACTCGCCGTCAACTGTGTCAAGTGAAGGTCATGGCAAGCTTGGGGCCCGATAAAGGCAAACCAGTAGACTAATAATTCTTTTATCGTAGGATGACAGACAATTCGTTGATACATGATCGAGGGCATTGCGAGTCTGCACAATTGCTTAGTACAAATATAGTACCGGGCTTCAAGCCAATGCTCAATCATCTAAGCGCCAGTGGTTTAGTGGT